CACTCAATTCGTTATTATTGCGTACTGTTTTATAATGTACTACAATACTGAGGTACTTGCTATTTTAACATAGTGTAAATAGAATCTATAGCTATTTGCACTTTAGTGTAAATAGCATATCATTAAAAAATACTACTATTTTCACTTACTGTAAATAGCATCTATCGTTATTTGCACTTGGTGTAAATAGCATCTATCGCTGTTTGCACTTAGTGCAAATAGCCGCTGCCATTATTAATTCATCAATATCATTATGATATGTCCCAAAATCCTTCAAACTGACTGTTATTAAGTCTCTCATTAAAAAAAAACACAAATTTATCATAGAGAATTAGTTAATTACAGACCAATCTCAAATCTCCCTTTCCTGTCAAAACACTAGAAAAGGCAGTATCCTTTCAGCTATGTTCCTTCTTAGAGAGAAATGGTATCTGTGAAGATTTCCAGTCAGGATTTAGGTCGTATCATAAGTACTGAGACTGCTTTCATCTGAGTTACAAATGATCTGCTCTTATCATCCGATCATGGTTGTATTTCTCTATTAGTGCTACTGGATCTTAGCACTGCATTTAACACTATCGACCACAACATTCTTTTGAGTAGACTACAAAATTATGTTGGCATTAGTGGAATTGCCTTGGTTTCATCTGAGTTACAAATGATCTGCTCTTATCATCCGATCATGGTTGTATTTCTCTATTAGTGCTACTGGATCTTAGCACTGCATTTAACACTATCGACCACAACATTCTTTTGAGTAGACTACAAAATTATGTTGGCATCAGTGGAATTGCCTTGGTTTAAATCTTACTTATCTGACCGTCATCAATTCATAGCAGAGGTAGCGAGGTATCACATCGATCACAAGTACAGTATGGAGTACCACAAGGCTCAGTACTAGGACCGCTGTGTAAATAAAGGTGACTTGACTTAAATTAAATTTTTGCTTGCCGCATATTTAATTTTTTTCACAATTGTATTTCGGAAAGTCTACATGGAAGACTGGGAAAAATGCTGGGAACTGTAACAATCACACACACGAAAGGGGTCCTATACAAAATACTTAAAACTTTTTACTTACTACATTTTTTGAAGTGTTAAATGTGTTGATTGATGGGATTCAAAATATGTTAATTCTGAAAAGAAATGTGAAATTCAAGGAAAACCATTTAACCATACATTTTAAAGCATCAACCCAAAGCAGCATGTTTGAGTTTTACCTACCCAGCAGAACAACTGGGGGGAGCTCGACATCAGGGTCTTTCATCCAATCATCATTTGACAACACTATGATGATATTTGGATTTTCTTTGCTTGCCTCTGTGAGAAGGGTCTGCACACATGTAGAGTCCTCCTTACTTTGTGCTTCTTTAAGAGCCTTAACAAATTCTGATTCAACAGTGTAATCCAATACAATGTCGTCTGACATTGTTTCATAACACTCTTAATAGGGTTTTCCCCTTTCAAACTAAGCCTGAGACTAATAAGTTTCATATGTGGCGCATCTGTTGTTGTTCTCGGTAGTTACATCTAAATATAGACAGATCCGACTGTAAGTTGATCTAAATGTTTATAAGACTGGCGCAAGCAGAGTAGGCCTATACTAAATTACACATATTAAACGTATACTAAAGTGGAGCAGTTAAAAGCAAAGAAACGTGGACTAATAAATTGATAATTTTGTATCGCAGTCACAATACAGCCTAATTTGATTTGGTGAGACTTCATGAAATTTTAAATATACAAATGAGCACAAATTAGAACTTCTCCATGTGTAAGCATAGATGTCATGGATAGATAAGATAAGGATCTGATTTAGGAGACAAACAACGGTGGTGTTATGAGAGGTAGATTATAGACAGTGAGAGGATCTGTAGGCATGCACTTCTCACTAGACAATAGCGAGAAGTGCATGCCTACTGTGAGCAGCTGGCTAACAGTATCAGGACAGTCAATCAGGTCTGACCGCACAATATTATGCTGTTCTGAAAAGAGCAGTTCAGTGAGCTGCTGTAAGCCTCTAATCTCTCCTATACTGCTTTAACAAAATGCTGAAATGGGTTTCTGAAAAGAGCAACTCTTTAACCTGCGTCAATATACATGCTAAATAGGATTCAAAGTAGTCTCCAAACCTCGCCACAGTTTTGTTTTCCAGCTATAGCATTCAAAATAATAGTAACACCGGCCAACTATTCCACGATTCTCGGAGCGTTTGGTGGCGTCGTTTGCTCTCCAGTCCAGCAGGTGTCAGTGTGGAATCGCAGAGCAGCAGCGGGTTTGTTTCCCTTAGCCGTTAGCATATGAGGCTCCTGTAAAAGATGCCCGTGTCTGTCATGATGGCTGAACTTGATGAAAAGCTGCTGTTGCAGTTTGAAACTCAAGAGTTGGAGGTAAAAACAGACATTGAGATTTATTTATTAATGCCTTTATTCCGCGGATGTATGTTATCTGCTAAACTGCTACAGTATCTTGGCTGTCAGCTGAACAACTCTAACGTTAGTCATGTAAAGACAACTCTAGACATCAATATAAGATAAAATAAATATTAACTTAATTGATGTTATTGCGGAATGTAACTTGTGAGTTATTGTCTATGAAGTTTTGTGTGTAATGTTAGTAATAATTTTCCTTGTGCACGTGTTTATTTGTTATTGTATAACAGGCATGTTTGTCTGACTGTTTTTAATGTAAATTGTCATATTCATCTCTTTAATATTCGCCATTTGCATAATTTTGTAAACATGTTACCTTGTATCCTAGGCTCCTGGTGGTATTGCTACGCCTCAAGTGTATTCCCAGTTACTAGTTCTGTATCTCCTGCACAATGACCTGTGAGTGTGTTATATGTATAATGTTAATTCATATTTATATTATCAGTTGATTCTGTCATAACAGTCATTTGCTTTATGCAGGAATAATGCCAGATACCTTTGGAAACGGATACCACATGCAATCAAAACAGTGAGTTTTATGTTTTCTTCCAATTAGTCTAACATAAAGCAAAATTAATTTCAGGTGTCTGATACAAATTTTAATTACAGGCAAACCCAGAGCTGGCCGCTATATGGGCTGTTGGACAGCGTATCTGGCAGCGAGACTTTCCAGGGATCTACGCTACTATTGCTGCTTACCAGTGGTCTGAAAGCATTCTCCCTGTGATGGAAGCTTTAAGAGGTATTGAGATCGTGCGGTTTGGGGTTTATGCTGTATTTTATGCTGTATTCCTGAAATGAGATCTATAATGAAGTGGGATAGAAGGGCTCTGAAATTTTCGTCTGCTCTGTGGTTTTTCGTATCTGTTTAATTAAAGGGGTCATATGATGTTGCTAAAAAGAACATTATTTTGTGTATTTGGTGTAATGAAATGTGTTTATGCGGTTTAAGGTTAAAAAAACACATTATTTTCCACATACTGTACATTATTGTTTCTCCTCTATGCCCCGCCTTTCTGAAACGCGTCGATTTTTACAAAGCTCATCGGTCTGAAAAGCAAGGTGTGCTGTGATTGGCCAGCTATCCAGTGCGTTATGATTGGCCGTGTGAGGAAATGTTACGCCCCTACCATACTGTGATGATGCCGTTAGGCCGGAGCGATGATTAAAAAAACATGAAAACCCATTATAAACAAGGCATTCGTTGCATCCAGTGGGGACATAATTACGGATTATAATGACTTATACTGTCTTTTTACGCGTTGCGTGTACTGGAAAAAGTGGTATCGGTGCATCCCTAGTAATTTGCATAAAATTGTTCATTTAAAAAAATCGTTCTTAAAAAAAGAAAAGAAAAGAAAAGAAAGAAAAATTTCCTCTTCAGCTCTGTTTCCGTGTGTACTGGGTTAAAGGAGAGGTCTAATTATACGCTTAGCATTGCTAAACAAATTCCTAGACCGATTCAGTCTAGAATGTTCCGTGTGCTTCCATCCCTGTTTTTTGTCTTTATAATTAACTACATGGCTAAATTAGTTTGATTGGAAATTTGAATGTTTTAGTGAGAGAGAAAGAATGAAAATACAGGTTTTATATTTCTTGGCACAATTCACTCTTGTCAAACAACCTCTACTTCAAGTTAATTACTGTCAGATTTAGTTAGATTTTAGAAGTACACTTTGTACATGATAGGGATGCACCGATACCAAGCTCCTGTACTCGTACTCGTACTCGTTAAAATGCCGCGATACCAAACGCCGATACCACACAGCATGTGATAAGCGCCATATTGCAACAATACTACAGCGAGAATAAAAGTTAAGCTGCCTTTCTTTGCGTGAACATTCGGGCGGCGTTATGCTAATCTTCCCACATTGTGACGTAGACATGTGGGGGCGTGTTAGAACGAGCCGTTTTAGGTA